GTCATTACTGTAGACGTAGCTCCGCTTGAAACCCAGGATAGAGAACTTGTTTGCGATGGATGTTGTTTCTGTTTCGCATTGTAACGAACTGCCCCGGTCCGGGAGCTCACTGCAGCGCGGTGTGTTTGTCACAGAGCAGGTGCAGTAGCTGGGAAGACTGAGAGACAGAGGGAGAAAGCATCCTCTGGGTGAAGAGCAGGAAAATTCAGTGGGAATTCTCCCTCATTTTTATAAGGGCAAAAGGTGGGAGGGACATTTCAGTGCCAGGCATGCTTTAGCGACCTTTTAAAGATCATTTGAAAATATACATTAAAATGCTAACAATGTCAGCTGCTATCTCATATCGCAAATCACAACAGGCAGCCCACTGAAGTTAAACAGGTGTGTGAGCCTGGTCTGTACCTGGACGGGAGACCTCCTGGGAAAAACTAAGGCTGCTGCTGGAAGAGGTGTTAATGGGGCCAGCAGGGGGCGCTCACCCTGCGGTCTGTGTGGGTCCTAATGCCCCAGTATAGTGACGGGAACACTATACTGTAAACAGGCGCCGTCCTTCGGATGAGACGTAAAACCGAGGTCCTGACTCTCTGTGGTCATTAAAAATCCCCGGGTGTTTCACGAAAAGAGTAGGGGTGTTACCCCGGTGTCCTGGCCGGATTTCTCACTGACCTTTACCAGTCATGACCTCCTAATCCGATCTATACACTGGCTTCATCACTCTGCTCTCCTCCCCACTAATAGCTGATGTGCGGTGAGTGTACCGGTGCACTGTGGCACTGAGGGGAGCGCTTTGAGTGGAGTGTCCAGAAAAGCGCTATGTGAGTGTAAGAAATATTTATTAGGATAATTCTGTAAAATGCAGAAATGATAAAACAAGGAAAAACACTAAAATTTAGTTTAAAATTCGGGAATATAAATGGATTTTGTGTTTTCTGTGCTATGATATGTGAAATAAAAAGCTTGTGTCTTTATGATAAACAAAAAAGTGTAAGTCCATTAAACCGAGAGTTTACGGTATAAACATGTTCAAGAATCAGAAACAGATTGAATTATTTTTTTACACAAGCAATGTCCGAGCACAAGAAAAATTAAAAAGGCTCAATCTACTGAAAAGAAATCAAACCAGTGAAATGGCTTGGTTTAACATTCAAGCCGCAATGAATACTTGAGATCAGCAGTTGTACCTGAATCGAAGTTACGGTAGGAAATTTAGGAAATTAAACGAGCTTCTTTGATAAATGTTGATTAAGGTATAATTAAAGAGAACAAGTTATTGTATTTAAAAAAAAAAGTTTCACTCCTTCGAGCCGGATTCGAACCAGCGACCTAAGGATGTCAGTGTTACCGCTACAGTCCTCCGCTCTACCAACTGAGCTATCGAAGGGTCATGACTTTCTTCCCCTCAAAAACTAATTTTAACTTAGAAATATGGTCATTTTACAATTTTATTGTATTTTATTGGGGGCAATCATATTTTTCCCATCCCCGTAATTAGAACCTAATTATTAGATATGAGGTGAGTTCAAACGCATTGTGCTTTTATTTTGCCAGAACCACTGCGTCCACGACGTGACTCGGCCGGTTCCGTTCCCACAATCCTTTTCTTCCTTGAAGCCAAGAGTCTCTGCCTGAGCCAATCAAGACCCGCATCACTACCAAGACGTTTACCAGGAATTGACCAATCGCAGCGTCTGTTCTAACTCCTGCTCCTTTTTTTCGCCCAATCACAGCCCTCTCTAGTGCCAGGGCTCAGGTTTAGCCAATCACGTGTCTCTTCTGCTGTCCAAACAGGCAATGCGAGGAGTTCTGCTCTCTTGCGTGCTATATGTACTGCGTTCTCCTGTTGAAAACAGTTTCTTATTTTACACAGTAATCGCGTCGGCTTGTTCTTTTATTTTTAATGTCGTTGTTGATTCTCCCGCGTTCTTTGAAATACAGTTTTTTTATTTTCAAAAGAACCCCCTCGTCTATTTTTTTCCAATGTTAGTATCTGCCGGCGTCTCCGAAGTATAATTAACATAGAGGAAACATCTGCTGTGTACTTCAAGAAAAGATCCACAGCTTTGTGTGTCGATGTAAAGATCTGTTTTATTTATTACAAATTGAGGATTAAATCGACTTTTTTGTATATCAACCCACTTATTGATTATACGTCTATGATCTTTATATTATTGACATTTTGCTTTCAAGTTTATTTTTTTATTGTTAAATGATCTTAATCTGGAAACTAACGTTTAAAAATTAACCTGGGCAGTCATCTGCCTGTACAAGAACTGATTTGGTACCTGGTATTGTCCGGGTACAGCAACGGTGTTTCTTCAGGGGTGGGAAAACGATAAATTGTCGAGAATGTGGTTAAAAGGGGGGAGAACTATCGTTTTTTTTCCTAATAAAGCGCCTTGTAATCCTGACCATCCTCAAAACACAGTCCATAAGTTATACATATAAAAAAAACAGTAAGCAGAAAAGAAAATAGCACTATTTATAAATCCATCCATCCATTTCTAACTGCTTCATCCACGCAGCAGAGCCTACCCGAGAACACCATGGGCTCCAGGCGGGGTGCGGTCATTTTTTTGGGATTGCACTGAACCACGGGAATCAAACACTCAAACTTCGGGTTGCAAAATGCAAATACTAACCGCTTCGCCACCCCACCTTTCTCAGGTCATGGATTGTGTCGTCAACAATTCTTGGTCACCAAAAAGCCTATGGGCATAGATTTACACGATATCACGTATCCTTCAGATAAACGTGAGTTTTTATCGACACGTTCAGTGAACTGTTAAATTTGCCGTGAAAACAACAAGAAAAGCACTAACTCTAACATAAATTTAGCTTAAAGACCACGTGTTATCAAAATGAGCAATTTTTAAATAAAGGTGGCAAATCCATCGACAATAAAATGTGAAAATGAATCACATCACCCGTACACACAACGTGTCGATGTCTTAAATATTACAGCAAAAATAGATGCTTACATTAATATTGAAGGCTGTGAACTGGATCTTGCGTCAAGATCCTGTATTTAACCTTACTTGTAAATTTACACTACTAAAGTCATCAAGTGCTGAAGAAAAGTCGGTGGGTGATATTGACGCAATGAAGCGATTTGATATCGTGTTACTTTTTATGCATTGATGATTTTTTTTAGTGGTTTGGTGGTGTTTGAAATTAAAACGAAAACATATTTTGGCAAATCAGTTTAGTTTACAAAAGTTGTGCATTGAGGGCTGAGTGCATATCCTTTGGGGACCGCACTAGATTTTTCTTCAAAGAAGAAATAGGACCAAAAAGGATTAAAATAGCAGGAAAAAGACAGCTGTACCGTAGTGGGGAATTAGCTCAAATGGTAGAGCGCTCGCTTAGCATGCGAGAGGTAGCGGGATCGATGCCCGCATTCTCCAAGCTGGTTTTTTTTTTACAAAATCTTCGCTCTCACAAGATACACTTTCACAAAATAACTTGATAATTTACACCATTTATAAATTCAAGGACCCAGTTCTCCACCTTTGCTTTTAGCCTGTTTTAGGGTTACCACACTTGATCATTCAAAAATGAGAACACTCTTTTGACGCGGAGGATTATGGTTTGGGGGCTGGTGGTATTTGTATCACTACTAAATCGAGTACTTCTTTACAAAAACCAACAGGTAAGTGAATTAGACAGCCCTACACCTATAATCAACACACAATCGCTATTGATCAACACTCTCCTAATCCGAAGCACCATTCGAATCGAGGATCTTTGGGGGAAAGGGTTATTGGGGAAAAAAAAACCTTTTAAAAATTCCTCTCGATAGAGATTAAAGAACCAAAAAGGAAAATTAGTCTGGAAAAAAACGGATACAGGGTAAACCGTTGTAATTTACGATCTTTCAGACAGTTTAAATTCGGGCGATTTGTTTCCATGCCGAGTCAGAAAGCACGAGGTAGCCGAATACCACAATACATTTTAAAAATAAACCTGAGAATCCCAGCCGTGTTCAAATTTATCCCAGCACCATCTGTGAAGCAACTAATTATAATAACATCTGCACTTAAACATTGAACACCAGCTCTAAAAGCTTCTGCATTGAGAGCACTTCGTCTCTTTATAATAAAAGATAAACATAACATAAAAACAGGGGAAAACAAAAACTTACATTGCGCAATATGTGTTAATAAGATACTTTCTAAATTAAAACAGGAATAAAAAGAAGAAAAACAGTAAAGACAGAAGGTCTGAAAATTCTGTTTTATACAAAAAATGAACCTATGTAGTGAAAAAGTATTGGGTGGTAAAGTATTTTTGATATTTAGGTTTTCTAAAATTAAAATTTGTAGTGAAACCAAAAAAAGGAATACAGTATAAATTAATTTTCACTAGACCTAATGTTCTTTTAAAGATCGGGTGTTAGGAAAAATAGGATTTTGTACACAAAAGTATCAGTATTTATTGATGGGGCTGGGTATCTGATGGTTTGGGGTCACAAACTACACAATAACAATAACAGTTACAAGATAAATATTAACATAATAAGCACAGATTGACTGATTATGGTTGTTGAAGCCATTTACCAACCAAAGCAGAGCTGCAGCTGAATGAGAGTTTCATTTTTCAAATAACGGTTTTGATGACAATACCATACCTATTGTTGCCCTGAAATTTATTTGAGCAGTTTGAAAGACTGAATCCTCTTTGTTTGTTTTTTTTTTCTGAATAAGATGCCTTGTCTTTGGCCTTTAATTAGAGAAGGCAACGTAATGAGGAAGACATAGGGCAGTGTAGCGTATTCGAGCGTATTCTCGTGGTTTTAAAAAAGTTCCCGCACTGTGACCTCAGCTGTTGGTCTCCATAAAGTATGCGGAGTGGCTCTGTTTTCTTTGAACCCACAATGCTCCTTTCTGTCCCCTTCAGTGGCGGAGCAGCTGCCAGGATCTCTCCTCTTGTCGTTTTCATATATGGTCAAGTCAGCATGGCAACCTTTGACGTTGATGTTTCTAAAAACAGCGCCCTGACACTCAGCCGACCGCTGGCCATTAAGCAATGTGATCTGAGTGAAGATACTCTGAGGACGTTTCTTCAGACCCTGGGCTCTGCATTGTTACAAGGAAAGAACCTCCTCCCTCCCCCCACCAGGTACAACGTCGGCGAAACTTTTTTCCCCTCTTTTTTGGGGGGATTTTGCTACGTAAATCACCTTGCCTTGCGGTTCTTTGGAGTGCGCAATGAGTACTTCCCTGGAGCACTCGTATTCCAAAGAGAATCACACCATGGACAACCTGGAGAAACAGCTGATTTGTCCCATCTGTCTGGAGATATTTACCAAACCTGTGGTCATCCTCCCTTGTCAGCACAACCTCTGCCGGAAGTGCGCCAATGATATTTTCCAGGTAGGTGTTGTAATCAGCCTGGAATTAAACTTTGCATACTGTGTTGCTTTGTGTGCTTTTCACTCTAGGTCATTTAGTAAGAATGTCTGCAATTAAACATTGAATATGAAGAACATGTAGTGGGATTGCGGGATCATTTTTTTTTCTGTGCCCTTGTGTTTCTGTTCCTGGTGGGTATAGGCCTCAAATCCTTACTTACCCACCAGAGCGGGCACCACAGTGTCATCAGGAGGCCGGTTCCGGTGCCCATCCTGCAGACACGAGGTGGTTCTGGACCGACATGGGGTATATGGGCTGCAGAGGAACCTTCTGGTGGAAAACATCATCGATATGTACAAAATGGAGTCCATCAGGTGAGCCTGCATTCGATGGAAATAATCATGCTACTGTACCGTATGTGAAGTCAGCTGTACTCACGCTCTGTTTTAGTCTACACTACGATCATAGCTGACTGGAGAATTTCTCTCTTTAGGATACAAAGACCTCAAAATGCGACATCGGTAACTGTGATGAGATTCCCAATTCCAAAAAGGCTGCATCACATGAACACAGCTGTGCAAAAGGCCTACCTTACATTCACTGTTGTGAGTTTCATGTCTACAAAATAAGAATTAGAATCACATTTGAAATCTTCTTTATGTTCCACATGCAGTAGATATTGTAATGCCCTCGCCTGGTGGTGAGGAGGAAGCGCTACAATATTTTCCTTTGACCTCACTGAGACACCAGGAGAATAAGTTGTTACGTAGACAAACTTTATCTCACTGCTTTTTTAAAAAAAAAACATTAAAATGTTTTCTTTTCTAGTATGCTGTTTATATTTGAAATGAGCTTTTTAAGAGCTATGTTTAAGAGCTTTTGTTTTAGTTCACAACCTTGTGCTTTTCGACTCCATCAGGACTGCCCTCAAGAGATACTGTATAACAAATTGGCACAGTTAAACAGAAATCTATCGTCTGTAATGTTGTTGCCTGTACAAGACAAAACCCACTGTAGTCATGATGTGAAAACTGTAGCACTGAGAAAGTTTCCCCCTACGTGCAAATGAGTCAGCAAAGCAGCATTCAATATCCGGACAGATCCTTCTTTTAGACAACCTTGCAGCTGTGATTTGGACACAAGCAGCGTGACTGAGGTCACACCTTTGATGGCAGGATGAAATTAAATCTCATAACTAACCGTCCGCACCAGGCTATATGGCACTGGTTGTCATTTTAGTTTCTGCAGCCTCCCATATATTATGTGTTTACCAGAGTTGAGCGTGTTTTTTTGTGAATTCTCCCACACAAGCAAAAAATGTATGGGCTGTCCCAATTTGTGGAGGAATCCGAAATGCATTGGGCATTGAGCATCCTTTCTGATTGTAAAAGCTGCCACTTCCTGATGTCCTTTTATGGGGCTAGATGGTAATATCAGCTGAGATGTAACTCTGCTGAAACTTTCCTATAGCTGATTCAGGTTACATTCAGGTGGAAAATGCAAAAAAAACTTCTTTATCACAGTGCCTGTAATAGGACCCAAGAGATTATGAATGGAAATGTGCACAGAACATCTTTGATTTATGTGGTAACAGATCCACACCGAGAGAAGTGTTTGTTTCTTTCTACCATGACACATTATATTGCGAAATTTAGTAGTAATATCCGTGATATCTTGAAAAATCACATTACTTGCACCTGTGTGTTGAACTAAGCAAGCAGAACTTGAATATTGCCCTCACACTTGTTTGGCTTGGCTGTTGCGATGAATATATTCTTCTGATGAGCAGGCTGGTTGAAGTGACTTGATCCCAAAGGACACAATCTGTCTTAAATTATCAGAAGGGACATACAGTACTTGTCACCACAGGGTCTTTATTGGGCCCTAAAATTGAATTAATATACACTACAGCAGTAAAGTTACACCTGTTACTGTTAAATGTTTCAGGCACATTTGTGGTGATTACTTACATGAATATTAAGTGCTTCTCAGGTGGTTTGGATTCACTGACTCCTTTCCTGTCACTTAGAATTTTTCCTCATTTGCCAAGACTTTATTCCTAAAAGGAACATATTTCAACCAGAAAAGAGTAGCTCATCGATTTTTTAACTTATTTAGGTAAATTAAAAATTAAAAATGGCCCAGCTCATCAGTTGAAATAGCACAGTCAAACCTCATCTGGATTGCACCCAGATGGGCTGGGGATGGGAGACTTTTAGAACAAGACCACTCCACAAAACTGCACTTGAGGTCACGGAGCTATAATGTGTTTTGATGACTCACTTGGCAGGACAACCTTGGCAGTGGTCCCAGCAGATCTTCGCTCCCGGCTAACCTCTTCAGAGGGGCCTCTTGTGCCTGAGTTTGGATACACAAATTTCTCTTTACTGTTTGAAAGACAGCAATTATCTAAATAATAATAGATTTATGTTTGGGCGCTGAAGAGGCACCTGGAGCTTTTAAAACCACTCAGACTACCCAAGGTATTCCTGAGTGCCTTGTTCAGCCCCGGTGCTTTTGCTGGCTGAATCAGTTCCAGGACAAAAAGCATCAGTCAGGATTTTTCCGTATTATTTGCTAAAACAATTATTTCTGAACTGTATTAAATTGAATCATTTACGTCGCAGTATAATGCCTAAATGTTATGAGCCAATGTTAATGAATATCATAATTGAAATGCAGAAGACTGTATGCAGTGCATTTGGAGAACTATTCTGTTAAATGCCATTGCTTTTGTTGCAGTTTCATGTGCGTTGTAAAAGGATTATACTCATTTTAATTTTACCGACACACCAGGATCATTCAAAATAGCTTTGAGAGGTCCTTAGATAAATGCAAGTCCAGCAAATCAAACTGTTTTCTTTCACTTGCAACACTTTCCTTATGTTCAGATGCTCTAACTTGTTTCTGCCATTGCTCAAAAGCTGCAAATAAATGAAGCCAGCAATCATTGTTTGATTCCATTTTAAAGATTATGCAAACCCGACTTTAAGCCCTTGTGTTGTGGCTTAAAATTTGGTGCAATGTTAAATAAATACAAACTACTGTATACATTAAAGGACTTGCTTTAAAATATGGCTTAACTGCTGCAATTGTTAGGCAAGCAGCATCATTTATACAATATATTATCAGGCAGGACTATTGTTTTGCCCGTCATGTTGATCTGCATGATGTGCTCCTCCTAGTTCAACTGGAAAATGTGTGATATCCATGCTAACTATACCATAATGTCCATGACTGCAGTTTAAACAACACACTCCTGTGATTTGATCAGGAGGATAAATACTGATGTGTTTACTGCTGAAGTCTACGGCAGGAGGGGTTCATGTTACAATCGAACAGACATACAAAATGGAATTGAATGTGAAGAAGCTCTTATTTATGTCTTTTAACTTTATTTAGAAAGTCATTTTAGCCGTGTCTCTGCCCTCCTCATGAATCCTGTAGAAAGGCGCTACTGTTCCTCCACAGGTTAAGCTCTCATTGTCAAAACTGTAATTGTTGTGCATAAGAAAGACGTCTTTGAATTAGCAAAAGGGTAGAAACAGAACAGCACAGTAACATGTGACCTCTTGACAATCTCAAAAATGCATCCTGCAGCAGAGCATAATATCATAACCTTATTGACATATTTCAGCACAGAAAAAGTAAAGTATTTCCAGGAAGGCATTACATATTATTATCAGCATTCTGAATCCTGAAAAATAACAGGTTTAACTTTAACAATGTTCAGACATTTAGCCTGGCTGGCTCTGACTAGTACTATATATGTTTAAATGATACCGTATCTCTTTGTGGTCAAACTGGCATAGCCTGTTGTCTGGAGATAAACTATATATGGTGATAAAGCATGCTCAGAAGACTCTAGAAGACTCTTGTACAAGGAATTTTCAGATAGTTACAGAACCTTCAGCACATGCAATTTAAATCCGTAAGAAAACATTGCTTTCCATTTTATTAGCAATGCACAAAACAGTGAAATTTCTTGCAGAATCAGGAGGAGTGCTTAGACAAAACTAAAAGGTATGTTACTATTAGGAGCAACTACTGTAAAACACTGAAAAATCCAGAAAGCTATTAATATCTTGGTGTTCAGTAGGCAAATGAATCCTGAATTATTCATCATATAAGTTTCTTCTTAAACACTTAGTGTTCTTGGCTTCAATTGTGTCTAACAAAAATATATTTTTTACTTGCAAGCAGTTATTGTTAGGATTGATTAGTACTGAAATTTTACTTTATTTTAATATTTTCTTTTGATATTCATATTTTTCCTACTTTCATGTCTCGAAAGAAAGCTCCTTTTTTCTGTCAATACTGTTTGGAAATGTTCAAAAAGCATCAGTTGTTTAAAGAATGTGCTTACGTGGTTTTCTGAAGAATCATAGAGAAGCCCAGCTACATGTGATGCTGAAAGAGCCAGATGAGCACAAGGTTCTGGGAGATTTGAGAGAGAGTCAGGCAAGAGTCAGACAAGACTACTTCATGACTGTCTTGGCAAAGGTTGATACTCCTGAAAATCTGATTCTATTCAAAATTGACTCCTGTTTAAAACATTTTACTTGAGATTGAAAATGTAGTGTAAAATGCTTAGCGAGGTAAATTATGGGGCAAAATGAAGTAAATGTACAAGAAAAGCTGCAGAGATGTGGTGCAAGTGTAGAATTGTAGGTTATGCTAAGCATAAAGGCAGCTCTGTATGTACCCAAAGAAGCATACATAAGTAACAAATTCACAATGTTATTGTCTGGAAAACGACAGATCCTTTTTTTGCAGCAGGAGCACAAAATTTCATTAGATATGAAGTAGTTCAATCGTTATACTGACTAACATTTATCATCAACATGGCTGATTATCTGTGAAAGTCACTGCCTAGTACTATGGTCACTCCTGGAAGTAATACAAGCTGCACATCCACTCTGCAGGCTTTGAACCAGGTTGTAGATACTGTCTTGTGGGTTCGTGTCCCATTCCTCTCACTGAATCTGAATGTCTGGGCAGTATGATGCTATGCGTATCATACTGCCCATTAATGGAGTCCAGTGCAGCTCAGGCACTTACCTGTTCACTGGTCTCTGTACCACGAATGACACAAGTCATCCCGGCTCATTTCACCATTGTTCTATAAGACTCAGATCTGGCAAGTAGAACATAATTGTCATATCCTCATCTTGCAAGAACCCTGTTGATACATGAGCCGCCTGAGGATACTGTATGTGTTGTCCTGCTGGAATGTGGTCACATTAGAGTGAACCTTCTGGGAGTGCGGCAGTTGTGATGCAGGACATGATCTGTGTAGCACCATGCAGTCAGGCCTCCACTAATCACTGCTGGAATTCAGCAGTGGCTAAACACTCCTCCCCAGACTAGCACACGTGAAGCTCCCCATTGACTGGTCTGCTGTGCGTCACAATGAATGTATCGTTCTGCACATCCCTGAAACTCTGACGTCTATCAGTGTTGTCCACATGAAGCTTTGATTCATTCCTAATGAGGACCTGGCCTCACACAGGCACAGTGTCATTTTTAGATTTATTTTTATATGTGTTGCTGTAGTTCCGAGCTCTGGGAAATTTTCCTGTTATGGTTTTTAATGATCGATTTTGAGAAGATGCACAGTACAGGTGTTTCCTGTATTATCATTCCAGCAGATGAATCCCATGGTTCTGTTTAGCCTTCTCTGGATCCCTGTGGAGTGTGTAATGAGAGGGGAGTTCATTCATCCCCCAGTTTCCTGTTCATAATTCTTGTCTTCCTCTGCTAAACATCTTCGCTTTGTTCCTCCCCCGTGTCCTTTGTTGTTGAACAAACCACCCCCTTTTGCATTTGTAAACTTCTATCATTACATACTGCTCCTTGTTGCTTTACTGTAAGAAAGGCACAAGTGAAAATCATGAAGATACATTTTCCAAGCAGGGATAATGAAGGTCTTTCACCCTCTCATCGGGTTGCGGTTTGATCATCTTTTGCCAAAAAGACAGCTTGATGTGACTCTGTTAGCTAGACATCTAATTATCAGCACTATTAGCAGGGTTTCCACTGATAAAAGTTTTTCATCATATGAAATATGGTAGAAAATACAAGTCGGAGCAATTTCTGCTATTTTGGTAACTTGGCTACACTGAACTTTATCCAGGCAGTGAGACTGGTCTTCGGGGAACTAGTAATCACATTGAGATAAGGTAGAAAAGTACTATGGCATTTAGACAATGTCATTTGTATTTTAGTAGGTACCTTAAAACAGAAAGACTGTACCACCTAGAAAGATGAAAGGTAAGTCAGGCCATGATGAACATAACCATAAGCTGTAATCAACTGCCTTAAAAACAAATAAATCAAAGCTCATGTTTCTAATCAAAAGCCATACAGCCGTTAACATTGTTTCATGGAGATGACTTAAGGGTATCTTATCAAATATTATGTGACAACATGAAATAGCAGCTTGGAGTGGTCTTGGAACTGAGTCCCGGCCACGTGTTTCTCTTCAGCAGTAAATCGGGCAGCGAGAGGAAGTGTGAGCAGCCCACGTGCGAGGAACACGAAGATGAGAAGATCAACATCTACTGTGTGACATGTGAAATACCAACCTGCTCCCTGTGCAAAGTGTTTGGTGCGCATAAAGACTGCGAGGTGGCGCCGCTCTCAAACGTTTACCAGAGGCAAAAGGTGAGGTCTCGTCTTCTCAGCCGCGCTGTGGGTTGAAAGAACCAGAACATCACGGATTAGAGGGGAAATTACGACACAGGTATTCCTTCATGAGGAATAGCATCACCTGGAATTAAAATGCATTGAAAGGATGGTTAGTTAAGAGTTAGGAATACTAAACTTCGGCTTATCCCTCTTGGCTGACAGCCAACCTCAGCCACCTGGCTGCAGGAGAAGGAAGTTAGGACCCCAGGACAGTGAGAGACGTTGACTAAGCAGGAGCTGCGAGGGTGGAGGGATGTAGAAAGACCAATGCGACTAAGAGAGATGAGCTAACAGTGGCATTTATGGTGTTTTCAGGAGTGACATCATGCAGAATTCCACGCTCGAGCCGCAGAACTGAGGAAGCCCTTGGTTGCTGTCATCCCTTCCAAACCTTTGTTCAAAACCCCATTTGTCTCTTTTGTTCATTGACAGCTCAACAAGACCATGGGAAAGGAGCATAGAAAAGCTTTTAACTGACTCATACTTATTGTATTCATGGTTCACCTGGAATTGACAACAGCCAAGCATTTGGGGTATTAAAGGGTTTAGTGAGAATTTTATGTTAGAATAATTTGGCTCAACCCGACTAGAGTGACCCAGGGGCAGGTGCAGAGTTGGAGATGGGATGGAGGAAGGAAAAGACAGTTGTGAGGGAGAGAAGGAGATTATGTATAGTATTTCTTATTTTAATGTGAGGAAACAGCATCAAGAATGATTACGGATTACTGACAGCTGAGGTTGATTGACCTCGGCTGTTGCCATCCCTCCTGAAGCTTCTGTCACGCCCTCTGCAGCCAGAGGGCGCTCCTTCTCTGTCCCGTCCCTAGTTTCCGGTCTGCTGTGCTTCCTGTCCCTCTCTTTCCCTTGGGCTATATATTTCCGGGTCTTGCACTCTGTCCTCGCTCAGCATTGAGGTTCGGATGTCCTGAGACCCGCCTAGCACCAGGGCGCCCCACGTCCGCTCCCTGAGGGCATAGGTTTCTATACGGCATTCCTGAACTCTTTGCCCGGGCCTTTTTCCCGTCTCGCCACTACGCATATGGGTCTTTTTCCGCTCTCCTGCTCCTCACGGTTAGTCCCTTTGGACGTCCGTGACAGCTTCGTTATAAACTCCATTTTCTGTTTTCAAGTTTCAAACACTACCTTGTTTAGTATGTGAACAAGAGTGCCTAAAACTAATGGCAAATTTTGTTTAATTTGCAGGGATTAAAATACAGTGTAGAGCACACAGACCTTTGAAAGCCTGTGAAATAATTTTATCACAATGAGACTTATTAGTCTTTCACATTAAAAGTCCTTTGCAGGACTCCAGATAAAGTTGTTTTAAAGCCTTGATACGGCTGCTGAAATGTTTTTGTAACATTGAAAATGGCTTGATGGTAACAGTTCTGATTAGTGTAGCACAAAATTAACAGGTAAGATTTTGTGGCAAAACGATAAATCTTTAATAGTACTGGTATTGTCTCCTTTACAATACTCAGGTTTGGAAATGCAATATCTTAATGATGCCTTGAAACACATACTGTAGCTAACAGCTTTGCAACAAGATGTAAAACAAGACAAGTAAAACACTAAACTTTGCAGATCATCGCACATTGAAGTGGTCTGTAGAGCTTCAGAGCTACTGAATCTCTCTGAGGTCATGAATTCTGAGGTTTGCGCACTGACCTTTGTAAATGCAGAAGCTCTCATGCTCCGGAGCGTCAGCAAATTTAGGGAACACCACTGCTCTGTTCATTTCAGGGTTACCAGCTCTGGAAGGACAGAATGCGGCGAGTGTGACCGGACAAGGAAGAGAGCTATGCTGCTGTTATTCTTTTCATGTTATTAGACAAGATGTCAGGGGACAGACATAGCTCACTGATATATTGACTGGGGCTGTTTTTCAGCTCCTGTTGCACATGTGGCTGTGTCTAGATCATGCTTACAAATACTCACAGTACAGAACTTTCGACTGCTGCTTGTTTGATTCATGTTGGAAATAGTGTTAGAAAAAACTAGTCTGCATAATACTGGTGTCCGTACATTTTTCAGGCTGAACTCAGCGATGGAATTGCAATGCTGGTTGGGAACAATGACAGAATTCAGGGCATTATTAGTCAACTGGAGGAAAGCTGCAGAAGCATTGAGGTAAAATTGACTGCGCTGTCTCATTCACGTTCTTGGCGAAGTAACTTTCCGTACAGACACTTTTGTTGTTCAGTCAGATGCTTCATTGTGTCAAGCTTCTCTTTGGTTTGTGTCTTGCCAGTATGTGGGTGATGTTGAATTCTAAATCAATTCAGACTACAGTTTTAAGGGATCAGTTGATCTATTCTGTGATGCTGGTCTGTTTGACAGTTTTTTAATTATGGGCATACATACATATTTGTTTGAAACCTACGCCTCATGACTCTCTGGCCTACAATTAAAATACCATCTTCTTTTGTCTATTTAATTAGCACATTGCCACCTCCACGTATGCAGAGTATATGCTCACCCAGCATTATGTGTTAATTCAGTGACGCCACTAATCTGAGATACGAAAGTAGTTGAGCCTCTTTCAAATTAAACAGATGGTACTATTCACTGGCTTCAATGTAAAAGGGCGAGTGTTACCCACAGTGTTCAAAAAGCACTGTAATTAAACCGTTGAATTAAAATGTATTGGGGCTTATGCAGTGCCCATTAAGAAACAAATGAATGACCCTAAAACGGGCATTGAAAATAGAAATTATATCTGTTATTCACCACAGACATGTTTCTTGCCAGTCATGTAATTCAGACAGCCTTATCCAGTTTAGGGGACTGAATCCACAAGCGTTTAATTCACAGCTTAATACAGAATTTGCCCTGCATGTTTAAGCTTTGTATTCCCAACAGGCCAAGTTACTCTGTCCTGATGCCGAATGTGATGTTTTTTTCCACATGTGTTCTGTTGGGTGATTGTCAAGTCCATGATGCACCTTTGCTCTCATGAAGCTAAAAAAATAGAACCTCAGGATTGTGCGCATACAATCGTCATCCAAAGGGTTGTCGATTTCTTTAGTGAGTGGGTAGAAAAACCTAGATGCGTTACATAGCAAAGGCATCATTTTTTACTTCAGCACGTGCCATGATAGTGTTTTTGCTCTTACTGGTGATGTATTTCCAGGGCCTGCGGGGTGTGTGTACGGTATGTGGCAGGGTGGAGTTGTTCTATATAATACCTGCCCGTCAGCACTGATTGTGAAGTCATGCTACAGCCTGAAGTCATTCCATCTCCTTCCTTATTATAACTGAGCCCATGCTTTCTGCTTGAAGAACTGCTTACAGTATTAATGATGGGCCTTCCTGCTGAAGCTGTCCATCCGCTCCAGCTCCTCCAGCACACTTTTCTCTTTTCTTTTTCTCACTTTTCTCATGCCAGTCCTTTTGTTCTAGTCCCACTAGAGCCCTTACTGCCACAGGCGTCTGATTCAAAACTTTTCTTCTTGTCACGTGCTGTATCAAGCTCTGCTCTCCTAATTATCTCCAGTGCCTTCTTCTTCTCTGGCAACATCCCCTCTCGCCCTCTCTCCTGCTCCACGTCCGCCAGACTTTCTCTTCCCCTTCTTCTAGAGTTTGTTCAGAATTCAGAGTCACCTTAGAGCATCTCCACAGACCCATCCGGTGAGACAGCCCCAGCGATTTCTCAGCTCTCAGTTCCTCTTACACTGGATTGCACTCTTAGACTGGTACATGGATTCTGATTGCCGCTGTAGTTCTTGTTGCTTCATTTTGATTAGCACAGTGCTTCAATTGCAGGTCCAGTTTATGCCGGCCTTCATGTAGTTTTATTCATTTATTCTTGTATATACAGGATGTGACAGCTCCTTGCATTTACCTCATGCAAACGTCATTTATTTTATTGTAGTTTGCCCAGGAGAAGAGCATCTACTGTACCAGGCCAATAAATGATTATAATTGAAATAAAAACATGGGATCGGGGAATTAATCAAAGACAGAGCTCTTCAATATGGAAATGCAACTTTGTTAAGTATGTGTACTGTATACATAGTTAGGAATCAAAGTCAAATATGCATAGCCAGAAAATTAAGTCAGAAATGTAAGTTTAATCCTACATTTTATACATTATCTTTAAGGTCAAATATGAATCATGCGTTACATACGGTTTTAGTAGCAACAGGCACATGCTGATCCTTGTTGTGTGGGTGGTGTTAATGTTGCCGCAGATACAGTCTTGTACTGAACCTAATTTTTTTGTATTGAGTAACTTTTAGGAACAGTTTGGGCTGCCCACGCACATACTGTATGCACAAGTTCAACTGACATCTTTAAATAGACATGAAAAAATCTGTTGTTTTAATCTTAAACATCCAATGTGTAGATACTAGAAATTATGTCGTGAGGGTGCAACTCTGGTGTATTCTCTGAGGTACTAAAAATCTGTTGTAAATGGAAAATATGCACAAACTTGCCATTACATTCTATTGCCAAACAAATAAAAGCTGATTTTATTTTATTTTTGCAATAGTGATAATGTTTCCACACCATGGTCGAACCTTATGGTGTATACAACTATGTGGTTACTATATTTAATTAATAGAACCATTCAGATTTTTACAGCATTATACTGTATTTACACAGTGTGGTCTACAGAGCCTTCAGCTGAAGTGAACCAATGCACACCAGACCAATATAGCTATTGGAGGGAAACGTGAGAATTTCTATCCACTAGAAATTCATGACTCATTTCATCCTCCTATCATTATTACAGCTACTGTCCTATTTTCTTCCTATCTATTTTCTGAAAGGACTTGGGATTTAAAAACCTTTAGTTTCTGAAGTGAGCACAAAGACAAGTAACTCTTTCTGTAGAATTGCACTTAAATTATGTAGGAAATTGCTTTCAAATGCAAGTTCGTGCTACTATGCCCTTAGAGAACTTCTTCGTAATGAGTTTCAGATGGCTTTGCACCTTTTTCTTTGTTCATATTCACAACGTCTGTCATTTGATTGGTCCTCTTTCCTTTCCCTATTGTTAAATCTTTATTTTTCCATGAAATATATTCCTTCTAAAAATAGATATGCAAATGAATAATCTCGAGACCTTTTTTTATCCTGCAGGACAACTGCAGGAGGCAGAAGTCACAGGTGTGTGAAAAGTTTGATTGCCTGTACGTGATCCTGGAGGAGCGCAAAGCAGAGATGAGCCAGAAAATTACATGTGAGCAGGAGGAGAAGTTGCATTATGTTCAGACACTGAAGAAGAAGTATGGCGATCACCTAGAGGCAGTGTCAAAGATCGTAGAGTCAGGAATACAGACAATGGATGAATCTGAGATGGCCCTTTTTCTGCAGGTATGCAGAAGTGTTTATTCATATGTGAAGGCTATTTAAAAAAACACTAAAGTTTCAAGGTGTTAAAGTAGCTCTTAATTCTATCTATTGACCTGGTTTTGCAATACCCAGTTTCTTCTGGTATTTTGTTCCAATCTGAATAGTAGAGTAGGGAGTAGAGCAGTTTACCATATGTACGTATTGGAATTTTTAATCTGATCTCTCGGGACATACACAGTACATCAGACAACACCACACAATGTAGACGACAGTTAAGAATTTAGCCTGTTTACGTAGTCAGAGATTTATAAGGTTAATTATAGTGTTTTCCTTCACATTCAATTGCTAAAAACAATTCCTTCATTAATGTTTTTCACACTTGAAATTATGATGTTGATTAATTATACTAATTAAGTATTTGAGAGATTGTATGTAAAATAATATAGAAGAATCTAAAGTCATGTATTAATTTAAAAGGGCGTCTTCCTTTATGGAAGTGATTTAACAACATAAAAGCATAATGACATGAAGAAAAACCTACTAAAGTCTAGTAATATCATGGTATAACCGTGGTAAAGCACATTGAGGTATGATACATTATACTCTATACCATGGCAAACCATAACAATGAGAGTAAGTGTAATGCCACTGAGAATGTTTGCAAATATCATGTAAATATTCACAGTAGGCTTAATAATTATTCTTAGGTCATTAACTCAATAGTAGCAGTAGACCATACTTCAGTACAGAGACAATGATCACAGAGCATTCCTGCCCAGGTTCAGCCGATCGCTATTTCTGCCCAGGAAAATGAGCCAGTGATACAGAATCGTATGAATGCCCCTTTGTATACCAGTGCAAAGTGTTCTGTTGAATTTGTACAGCTGTACAGAGCACATTTTCACCTCTGTTCCTCTCTTTAAACCAACTAAAGGTAAACCCTGTAATCTATTCAACAGACTGCTACAGAAAGCATGCTATAATTTTAAAGATTGATGTGACTGAAGGTCACAGAGGAATACATTTTGTTAAAACAGCTCGATTTAATTTTAACCATTCCCCTCTCATTTTCTTTTCTCTTTTACAGAATTCAAAGCCTCTTTTACAAAAGTAAGTACACTGTCGCCCTACTAGAAATCTACAGGGTCAGATGTTTCTTACCACCCTTTAGCGTAGAAACAGGAAGATTTTCTTTTATTTTTTAGAATTAGCGAGGCTTCCAACATCTCACACCTGGAGAAAGTGGAACGTGGCTATGAAGACATGGATCATTTCACAGTCAATTTTGAAAGAGAAGGAAGAGCTCTGCGGAACATAGATTTTGAAAGAGGTAAAGAAATTCCAGTGTCAGTATTTAGCACACATTTATTTAGTAATGGGTAGACAATGAGCGGACACATAAAGACATCTTTACCACAGAATGGCAATTTGAGACTCCTCTTTTTATATTTATAGACAACCAATGACAACATGTCATTTCAAACAGCATTATTTATTGCGTAAACTCACAAATAAAAAAACAGCAGCCATCTGAAGTAAAATGCAGATTTGCTGTGCTGAACCTTGCTAATTGTATTTGTTGTATACTTCAGGATGTCTTGCAAATCATCATGCATCATGATTTTTCATTCACATTTTCTTTGTGCAGCATGATTTTTGAGAGACAAATTCTTTGACTTTTTTCACATCTAAACCTAAAACTCACCTTTTTACTAGGGCCTGTGTCTAAGTGCCTTACAGTGTTTCCTGTAAGTTCTTGTTTCATTTTTTTTCTTTTGACCTATTATGTTATTTTTTCTCCTTTTCTTCTTTAACACCACGTACAGCATCCTTGGGTTTGGAGAGTCGCTTTGTACATGAAAATGATCATTATTACTCTCTCATCCCTGAACAGAGGAGGAAGAGGAAGACGAAGAAGAGGATGAAGAAGAAGAGGAGCTGGAGGAGGCCCACACAGAGCCGGAGCAGTCTGATGGAGATGGGGTTGGGACAAATATCGGGGTACAGCCTCAACAGGCCCAGCAGACACCTCTCCCGGGTACGAATGCAGCTGAAACTGCTGATGGCCTTCCTAAAGAGGACCTGGCCAAGTCACCAGACACAGCTGCACAGGTGAGATCTCCAGATCCTTGTACAACAGATTAATAGCTGCCTTACAATTCAAACAGTAGCATTCACTATTCCAGATATTCACTCAGAAGTTCACATCTGTGATGTTCCAACCAGGACTTTATTATGAGAGAAACTTGAATTCTTCTAAATCTTTGAAAAACCCCAAAATAGCTCTAATTTAAAAGACATGACCTTTCTCTACAGAGTTATACTCTCTAGTCCCTTAAAGGAGTGGACTTCAATCTTTATGCAGCTCAGCATCAGGCAGAAGATGCCCAAGATATTTTTATCAGACCAGTTCGAGCAGATAATATTAAATTGACAACTTAACAATATGTTTTAAATAGAATTACTACCTCATTCTTTTTTTTACTGTAGCCACCCGGTTTGTAATCATCAAGTCCTTAACCTTCATCTTTCCAGCAATGAGTCTGCCCTCTCTAGCGGTGAATTTTCATCCTGTTTTACAGACCAATACAGACCGTGAATCACACGGTAGTGGGCGACCAATCAAAAGAGACAAAAAATGTTACTGAACGTGAGTGATGGTGAAAGAAGGGCATAACAGAATGTGTGTAATGCAGGACTCAAGTCCGTTTAAGTGAATTAGATCATTTTAGTGTCACGGATGTCGGAAGGGACAAACCGTGGAGAGGCAGGAGAGCGGAAAAAGACTAAAATGCATAGCGTCAGATTTGGGAAAAAGTCCAGGCTCAGCAGTTCAGGAGTCGTATAGCAACCAAGGCCCTCCGGCAGTGGACGTGGGGCGACCTGGATGCTAGGCGGGTCTCAGGACATCCGAATGTCAATGCTGAGCGAAGGTGAATGAGTGACCCGGAAATATATAGCCCCAGAGAGAAAGAGACACTGGAAGGACAAGCAAAGCACAGGAAACTGGGGACAGGACAGAGTAGGAGCGCCCTCTGGCTGCAGGGGGCGTGACATTTAGTCTATAAGAAACTTCCCTTTTAAACTTTGGTCTGACAAGAACCTTTTCTTTTGTATCGAAATATCATTGGGCATAAGTCTCAGCCCAGCAGGAAATGTCTCCTGTGAGCCCGCCTGCTAAGTTCAAAACTCCCAGGCATCTTTAGGCTGTGGTTGGTTTTCCTAGAGCAATTATGAACTGTACTGCACTAGATTGGTCAACTGCATGAGCTTTCATAGGGAGTGCTAATGCCATTACACCTTGCCTATACAATTAATAAGCTTATTCTTTTTGTCTGCTCAGAAGTTACCTGCAAGTATTTTCCTACATCATATTTTATGTTACAGAGAACCTTTTTAATGATCAGCAGCATTTCGAAGCATCTCACAGTTCAGTCATATTACAGTACTATGTGGAGTTACAGCACAAAAATCACAAGTTCTGTTGAAAGTAAAGAAAGTAAACAAATGCATGAGACTAGGTAGTGATAAAATTTAAAGCTCAAACATTTCCAAGGAAGTAATCAGATTTATTAGGAAACTTGAGGATCCTGAGCATGGGTGTCATACAAAAATGAATGGGTTATTAAGAAAACTTGAACTTGAAAAAAAGTGAAAACTGATGGTGATTGGGAGAGATCTGCTTTTTGCAGAGAAGTGTCCCTCAAGTGTCATTATCCTTGGCATCCTCGGTACAGAGTTATGACTAGTTCACAGTCAGGGGATCTCATTTGCCATATAGAAATAAAAAACAATGGTTGATATCTCATTATATTGAGATAAAAAGCAATTACATCGGAGAATGTCATAAAGGAAAAAACTATAAAAGACTCTGTAGTTAAAGTGGAAAACATCTGAATGTGATCCCAAAGATGACCAGTATCTAGAGTGGGTGTGTTTAATGTACAGTTACACCCTGTTGCAGAATTCTTTAGATTTTTACAGTTACACTTCTATAGCACTTTTCTGGACACTCCACTCAAAGCGCTTTACAACTAGTGGGGACGCCCCTCCACCACCATCTACAGTATGTGCAGCCCGACCTGGATGATGCAACAGCAGTCAGTGCACCAGTATGCTCCCCACACACCAGTTCTCAGTGGGGAGGAGAGCAGTTGAAGCCAGTTCAGAGATGGGGATTATTAGGAGGCCATGTTCGGTAAAGTTGAGGGGGCAATGTGGCCAGGACACCGGGGTAACACCCCTATTCTTTTTGTGAAACACCCTGGGATTTTTAATGAACCTCTGTTTATATCTCATCCGAAGGACAGTGCTTTTTTTACAGTATAGTGTCCCCGTCACTGTACTGGGGCATTCGGACTCACACAGACCTCAGGATGAGCGCCCCCTACTGGCTCCCACTAACACCACTTCCAGAAGCAACGTTAGTCTTTCCCAGGGGGTCTCCCATCCAGGTACTGACCAGGCTCACACCTGCTGAGCTTCAGTGGGCTGGCTGTTGTGTGTCGCAGGGTGATATACAGTAGCTGCTGGTATATATGAGCTAGAGACCTTTAATGGAGTAGGATGAGGATAGTTATTATCTCTAAAAACGTACAAATGTATAAAACTTTCAAAACCATCCCGTTTTCTGTTAATCAAACACTTCAGCCAAAAAAAAAAAGTCATTTTGCAATAGTGATTTTGCAAACCGTCCGAGTCTAGAATTTTCTGCTAATCTCCGATGGCTCACTTATGTCACTGCAAGGCCGCCAAGAGCAGGTCTGGGAAGGGTTTGTGCCCTGTGGCTTTTGATGGGCAACTGATAATGAAAGGGTGCCTGTGGTGTATCTGTCTTCCCTTGCCTGCTGTCTCCGAAAGGGACCGCCTGAGCAGAGTGCGGCTCCGGCCACCGCGAAGACTGAGGGGATCTCCGCCGCGGCTGCAGCCGACCCAGTGCTCTACCCCGGCTGGTACAAATCCACAGCCGGGCCGGCGGCCGCTCCCGGCCTCGCCCCACCCGGGCAGGGCACGGCTCAGCCGGACGCCTCGGGGTCAAAGCTAGGGGATGCGCTGCCGGCGGCGGCAGGGCCGACAACGCAAGAAAGCCCGGCCGGAGCTCACGAGGAGTCTGGCTCTGCTCCTTCCCAGGTCTGTACCTCGTCTGCTTCGCGCCGGGTTCACCCGCTCGCACAGAGCCAGCCGCTTTCCTCTTTCATTATCACCCACGAAGAGAGACAAAGGGATTTTGTGAAACTCTCAGCCCATTCTTCGGTGTCCCTTTCTGTCTTCGAATAATAAACGTGACCTGGTTTGATATTTTTTATTCAGGACTGGGACAGTAAAAGAAAAGTCCCACTTTTTCTATTCTGTCAACCTAAATATGGACTGCAACGCAAAACTATTTGCTAAGATTCAGTGTTGTTGTGTAAACCTTATGTATATGCGAAACCTGTATTAGTCACAAGACAGTTTGATATTTATTCATCTTTCAACTCATTTTCAAAAGTTTCATGAAGAAAAATCCTCTTCTCATTGAGCTACACTAGACATCTCTTCCGACTTTTACTGTTTCTTTATTGCTCTTGTAGAGACTGTCAATAAAACATCATTGACTGTTTCTCCACATTCATATACACGAGTTTTCTGTCAGGGAATATACTTACAGTACATCGCTGTGGAAGCATCACACTGTGGAACTGGAGCAGGCAGAGATTAAACACACTTGGAAAAGTAAAACGAGAAAAAAAGAACATTTTGGCTCTGGAGGCTCTTTAGGTGTATGTGAAAGAAGAAAACAACAGGAATGTGAGGCAGAGAGGTGGGTAAGAAGAATAAAAGAAATATGGTGTGAGAATGGGTAGGGAGAGGTGAGACAGAGGGTCCACAAAGATGGAAATCCTGAAGATAAATATCAGGGGGATTGTGGAAGGCTGAAATATGTAAACGAATGGAGAAAATTAGAAAGAAGTTATTTTATCTTTTTTTTGTTTACTATTCATTATGGAATGAACCTTTGCTTGTTTCTTTACAGCTCGGATGCAGAGCAGACTCTCAAGTATACTGCTACTGTACCTCTTAAATGAACCCTTTTCAAATAGGTTCAGAATGGATAACTGGAGTTATGTGTGCATAAATACCTATATTCAGTGTTGCTATGAGTGAGGGAGATGTTCCAAGCTGCAGGTTTAGGTGAAAAGCACCATTTCGTATTTAATATAAAAAGTCAGTATGGGTGAACAACCCAGTACTCTCGGCAATGGCACCAAAGTTAGTTTTTTAATAAAATGTCAATGTGGATGGCAGTGTAACAGGACTCATGTACTGAGCAAGTTACAGAAATGAGATCACCTCCCTTCTGAAAGCTAGACAATGTAAAACTCTACCACAGAGGACCAGTCTTTTGGCATAGAGGAGCTAACTGCTGTCTAGACTGTGGTGCTAGAGTTTTGTGTGCTTTGAGCCCACAGGTGGCTGGGATCAATGCCAGTGGGATGATACTTTATTTGAAACTGTTTGCAAGTTGACCAATCAAGCACAAATGATCAGCACTGTGTTTATCTGTCTGTAGGAGGGCAAGAGGTTATCATCAGTGCAAACACTCAATGGGCTCCATAAGAGTTAAATGTGACTGTTCAACATTCAGTGTTTAAAATGATCTGGTTTAATAGAACTGTGCAGACATGAAGCTTTGGTATTTTGTTTTTTCACAGGGGCTAGCTTTCTGCCTGACAATTCTGGCTTTGTTTATGATACTCCGTCACCTTTGGAATCAGATTCAGGGCGTGATTGTAACTTTTATGGGTAGGATACTTATTTCCTTTTTGCATACAAACTAATTCCTCCG